CAGGCAGAGACAGTAGAAAATATCAGCCCAGACAGCTAATTGTCTAATTTTTGGGCTGCCTAAAAAGGGAAGGGAGCATCAAAATCATCCTGTTGCTAGGCTACAATATAAACTCAATGGGAATAATAAAACCGCAATCGGAAGTTTCCTATCCCTTTAACTCTAATATCTATGCTTGTATGACATCACGTTTAGCCACACCCCCTGACAGGATGTAAAATGGCAGGAAGCAAAATGAGCAACTTTGAAGGCTCATATCTCTGTGAATAATTTTTTCCAGACAATAAGACTTTCCATATAGCAATTTTATGATCATACGATCATGCTAGGTCAATAAAAAAATACCCCAAAAAATCATGTCAGTTACACTTTAATTTGAATGGCTTAATACATTTGATAGTGGGAGTTAAAAAACATTGACCAGGCTTTTACTAATTGTAACAAATGAAGCACCATGGTGCGTGGACTCGCTTGCTGAGATTCACCTGAGGGATAATGTGTTACTTGTACTGCCCCCATCATGATATTATATATATAAGCAAATTGATATTTGAAAAAAGGATAATAGATTTTGACAAAGTGCAAAGTGCAACAATGCAATTACTGCACTGATCCATAAAATAAATTTTAGGTGTGGTCAGCACCTAGCAGTGCAGTGCAGATAAACATGGCACGTGGGTAGGAGAAAGAAGAAAAGCTGAAATTTATTTTAGCATCTGAAGCTCTATTCAAAGAAAGAGTAAGCACAAAAAATTTGCCTAGATATTTAAAAGAGACTGAGATAGTTTGGTTGCTCCTGCTTTCCCCAGTGCTGCCTGAAAATTTTTCGAAGAGGCTAAATCACAAACTTTGAGCAACTGTAACTCGCAAACAAAAAAGAGATTAGAAAATTCCCACATATTTTTTAATCTATGTACTTTTCTCTACCTATCAATGCTAATCTTGACCAAATAGAGTGAAACACGAAGATTTGGCTAGGAAAAGTGTTCTATTCTTAAAAATATTCAGCTTTTGCTACCATGGATTGCTATGAAAACACAACGGAGCTAAATAAGTTATCTTTTTCCCAAAGCTTAAAAAGAATTATAACTCAGGAGAGCTCAGTAAAAAGATATTGACTAGGAATTAACAGGAATTTTCGTGACAGAATGACAACCCAACTGCATAGTACCCGCCTACGCAAGCGTGGCGAGTCCAATAATGTCATAAAAATTGAAAATTGTTATTCAAAATGAAGTACCATATAGCTATAAAATTTGGATTTAGCAAATTGACTTCAAAAGAGGTTTGGAGGTTTAAAATTTGGCAAAATTTTAATTTTGTGTATACTTCTATGGAGCTCTATCAAATTGGAGACTAAAAATTTGGCAAATGTAGCTCATTTTCCAAATTGGCCAAAATTTTACTCGACCAAATTTTCTAGCTATACGGTATATTCTGTTAATTTTGTAAAATTATATATATAATTTTTATAGTATAGCTATTGACATAATACTTATGTATTTAATAGAGAAGAAGATTTCTCATGAAGTGTTTT